ATAAATCGAACGCTTTAAATCGGTCAATCTTTATATTAATTCCATTGATGAAGTTATTATGTACAATGGCAACATTAGCACGATCCTTTTTACTAAATTTTCTAAAGTTTATATCTCCTGAAGGAAAGAGTGATTCATTTAATGTCGCAATTTTAATATTTTGTGACATTTGAATTAAATTATTGAAAACAATTTGATTCACAGAAGCCCGTTCCATTAACTTTTTTTCCCATTTTCTAATCAAAGTTTCTGTTTCTCTGTTACTTCTTATTGCAAAAAATCCAGCACAATATTCCTTTCTATCTAATGACATCCACAAGTCATAGTTGCCTTTAAAATATGGTATTGGATCGTGTAGCCAAACTGTATCAACATCAGAAAAAAGTAGGTAGCATGTATATGGTAAGTACATTAAAATATGTGTTGCGCGGACAGACATAAGCTTTCTAAATAACGGTGTATTGTATGAAGAAGCATTAGAAACATTTATATATTCGCTTCTGTGTACCTGTATTGATGCATAATGGTCCGATTTAAGCTTTTTAGAAAACGATATCATCCTCTGCAATAACAATAACTGTATATTGTACAGAAAGTTTTAAAAAGTAAACATACCAATTTTGAAATAATTCGAAGGCGCCATTATTTAATTCAAGAAGAATTGTCCAGTTTTTAGTTTCATCATTGTTCCATATCAATTTTCTATCATGATAATGCATTTTTGGTTTTGCTTCAGTCTTATAAATAGCTTTACTCTCAATTATTTTCTTCTTATCATTTACTTGTAAAAATTGTAACTTCCAATTTCTTTTGGTACCTTTGGTAATAGAGAAAAATGGACAAATAAGTAGCAGAACAAAGGTTATGAAAGGCATTATGTTCCTATGAGATATCATTTTACATCAAAATTTACCAAGTAACAATTAATAATTTTAATATGTATAAATTATTCAAAAACTGTATCAAATAGAGATATCGACCGGTATCTTTTAAAACGGTTATTCACTAGTTTGTGGTGCAGATATTTCCAAAATATCGGTTTCACGTTTATGTAGGCTGTTTTCTTTTTTTAAAAAGTACAAACAGTCAAGTCAAATTTTCATAAATATTTAAATAGAAATGTTTAACCGTTCGAGAGTTCCAATAATTATAGACATGTAAATGTAAAACATTCGTCATGCCACTTGTCACAGCATAAGAATAACACTAAATTTATTTGTTTACACGATATTTTGTGTTCTATCAACTTTAAACCATTAGATACTTAGATAAAAAAAGTTTGTTTTTGTGGCATATTTCTGCCCCTATACAGGTTTTTATTATACGTTCATTATCTGACGAACATTTTCCTTGCCCTAACACGTAAAAAAAGATAATAATCTAATTAACTAGAAATATTTGTAATCGAATTGTAAAAACTCAATATCTCAATATCTCAAAACTATTAAAGAATACAAATACTTTTCCGACAACTATTTGACATTTTTAGCGGTTATTTAAAAATGTTTTAGGTCAGCAGTTAAATAATAGATCACCATTGGTTTAGTTTCAAACACTTTACGTCAATTAATTATCATTTAAATTATGTATCTTGTAAATCAGAACAAAATATTTATATTTTTCATATAATAACAATTATTTAAGTCATTTTATAAACGTTTAAGTATTTAACTGTTTTGGCGGGTATAAGTTGTAATATTTCAGTATGCCGTCAGAAAAACAAGCAAAAGAACCTTCGCCTGAATATGCTACCATGGTACGTTTAATTAAATGTGTGTTCATTGTTTACTTTGTCATGCATGACATAAGGGAGTTATTACGCTAATATTAAGGAAAGTTAATAAAATAAATTGATTTTTAAAAAAGTTGCCTTTAATATTAGTTTTGATGCTTTGAGCTGTGCATTCCCGAAACTTCAATTTTTTCATTATTTTCAAATGTAATTGCAAAACCCTCAATATTGCCTTTTTCAATTCTCAAACTAGTCATGTTGAGTATTTACATTATTATAAGACAATGATAATAATAAACGGTTTTTAATAGCGATTTAATAATGAATTTTTACATGATCTGTTTCCCTTATCTGTTCTATTGTATGTACCTATTTTTTTTGTAAATTTGGTGAACGTCCATAGTAATCTACATTTGATGTATTATTTAACGCAGCTTTTGTTTCTTGAATGAAATTTATTTTAATTATTTTTTTAGATCGAAAGTTAAACAAATTATAGTAAAATCAATATAAATATGTGAATCATAGGTGATCAATATTTGACAGAGACCATGAACTTTTTTCACAATTTTTTATTTATGTTAGTTTTAACATATTTCATTCCGGAAAATACACAATACTGATACACAGCTTCAGATATACACACTCTTGAAATGTTAAAAAAACGAAAAAATGTTCTTTTCTAAATTGATAATGAATAAGCAAACAAAAGATGACCTGACATCCATTTTGTATTACAGGAAATATGTGTGTGGCAAAATAATTGAAATTTTAAAGAGAATTATCTAAAAGATAACTTTAAATAACACTGTCTGCATTAAAGCAGTTCTTTGCAATAAGTTTATATTTATATTAAAAATGATAAAAAAGTTATTGTATTTAAAAGTATGAAGAATAAATAACTTAGGTAGGTTTTTTACGAGTTGTTTAATGAGTTAAAAGACGACTTCATTCTTTAATTTATGTTTCCAACCTCTTACTAAGTTTAATGTATATGAACCAGTACTTTTTACATCAAAAGGTGCCTAGCTAAAACACGGTATTGGTGCTGATTTTATTGTTTCTATGTTATACTTATAACACAGAAGTTGAGTATGTCATAAAGAGTTATTTTATATGTTTTTCATTGTGAAATATAGCAATCTTGCTTTCCTGAAAGTTTCAAGCAGCTAACAGCTGCGGTTTTGGAGATATGTCCATGTTTATGTCCCAAAAAGGGGCAGATTTTTAGTGTTATACTGTCTAACTTATAAAAACAAAAATTTCAAATACAAATTATTTGCATTTGTTGCTCAAAATTGGTGTTGAATATACTGCAGTTCTATGGAGACATGATACCTGTAAATTTTGGTCCGTAAAGTAAAGCAATCGGATAAAAATTGTGTTTTTAATCCCGAAATTGCTGATGACAATGGTTTCATTTATAAAGTATTAATGTGATGCATTTCTTTTGTTATGTGGCCAAAGAAGGTGAAAAATAGTGTTGCATTCAAATAAAATTGCTTTTTGAAACTTGCCTCAAAATTGTTCTTGACAAATATACTAACTACACCCACGGGTTAAGCCACTGCTTAGTAAAAGAAAAATTTGTGATATTTTGAAAAAGAAAAAACTTGTAGTGTCTGTAACCTGGTTTACTTTATGTTAATTATCTTCAAAATTATGCATTATGAAAGAGTGTAATTTTTCAGATTTTAGCATATGCATGTGAAATGTAAGCAGGCCAAAATTCAGTTACATGGCATTTAAGATCATCGAAATAAATTAATCCAAAAAAGTTACGGACACTACATCAAAAGGCTAAATGAACTGCTGAAAAATTGGTAACTCTTTAACTGGATAGTAAATACATTTAAAAGTTCAGTAAGTTCAGGATTTTCTGTTGAAATGTTGCATCATACATTGTTCCTGGAAATAACAAAAACAAATGATGCAATATATTTTGTCAGACGAAATGTTGCATCATACAGTCTGCAGGAGATTTTGACTAACATTTTCAATACAACACTGTGCTAATATATACCAGCATGAAAACAAACAATTTCTTATTTTAACATGCCCCGTACAAGAATTCAACCTTTGGAAATGGGGACAAGAAAAAAGAATGCCCTGCTTTTGATCAAGGTAGGTTTGACAATTGCACTTTTATTGCTGTATGAAACAGAGTAGTGTCCGTAACCTATTTTGTTGTACATTTATTGTTATTTTCCTCCACTGTGCATAAAATATATCAAGCCATCTTTTTTTTAATAATAATATTTTGCCCAAGATATACTAACCAAACAAAAGGATGTCATATTATATAAAATGTCAAAAGCTGTATTCAGTAATAAACATTTTAGTATCCTGGCAACAGATATGTAGCTTTAAAAATAAAAAAAATGATCAAAAGTTATTCTATCTTTTTATATGTATGCAATGAATAATATTGCATTGTTATGTTTCAACTGAAATCCTTCCTGATTTTTTTTATTTAAATAGCATTTTTTCTACAGTTGAGCAAAATGGTTACGGACACTACATATAATATGTTCCATTAAATACCATACTCCTGTTCATCATTATATGACTTTGCTTCTGCATATCATGCAAAAAAGTTACTTACTCATTTGCAATAAAGCTAGTAATCTTTTTTTGTTGTTTTATAACATTTCCATTGAAAAATAGATTAATTAAAAACAAATAGGTTATACAGGTAAACAGTAGAGGTCCCTGATAAAAGGCTTAATCAGGAGCCCTTTTGTCTGGTCATACAAATATACACTATCTAGAAAAAATATTAGATAAATCCCCCTTTAATACTGTCCATGAGAATGCAACTAGTAATAATTAAATTTATTTGCAGATACTCAAAGATCTACTTGTGAAAAAAGGCACAAGCACAGACAAGAAGAGAGAAGACTTTTTTACAGCTAGGACTAATGGTCCTCTGACCTGATATTTTTCATGTATGATTACATGTCTTCATTTTCCGTGCCGTTAATTAAAAGAACCCTTAATTATATAAAGTCACTTATTTCTGATGTAATTAGATACACGCATTTAATTTTACTTCATTGTCCTTACTTTGTCAAGATAAACTTGAAACATAATATGTTTTCTAATGTAATTATTCATTGAACTCTTATTTTTTTGTCTTTGTAAAAATGATAAAAGTTTTCTAAAGTATGTGTTTGCAAACACTCAATGCTGCTCATAGAATAAATCCGATAGAAATAAACAGTGCTGTCAAACATCAGCTGTTGCTGCATATTAACTAATTATGCGATTAGTGTTTTGCACATTTAATAACAAATCGTAATGTTTGAATAGTATTATCCATCAAACATGTAGTTGCTTGTAGTTGCTTGTTTGATAGAATATATCTTTTAACATCACCTAGTTTTCTTGACGGCAATAAGACGTTTCTTAGGGAGTTTTCATCTGTTAATGGAAGGTATCCAAGCAACTGATTGCTAAATTTACAAGCTTTGTATATAAAGTTCGCAGTTCTTAAATCTATTGTTGATCGCCATTTAAAAGATGTTTCTGTAGAGTTCTTTCTTATAACACAGAATCTGCATGTATCCTTATCTGATTGCGTCTTCAGAAGTATATACTTTATTATTGCGTTTGTGAAGCGTAAATTCGCAAACTGAAATATATCTTTAGCTGTTTTTATTGGATTGTTAGCAAGATCTTCATAACTTACAACATATATTTTGTTTGGATATTGCTTTGAAATTACTTTGGAATATGCCAGATCATTTTTCAGGTTTTCACAAAAATTCACGACAGAATGCATTTGCACTGTTGGTTTCGTTTTGGTCATTATTGAATTAAATATTCCTCTAGGGTCTCTTACAAGATGAATAATCTTTATATTTGGAAACAAATGCAAAAGTTGCAAAACTAGTTTCATCCTCATACGTATAAATTTAAAGATTTGTATTGTTGAATTCTGACAGTATTTTTCTTCTTCATACAGACATGACAGGTTTGAAGTATCAATTTTATTGCTCGACAACCTTTTCCCACAACAACCATGTACATTTGGCGTTGATTGTTCATCACTTAATTGAGGTATGCATATGGAACTTAAACTACAATTAACCCACAAATTAAACGCATAAATAGCCTTCTGTTCTGTTTCGGATTGCGAATATTGCATCCTAAAATAGAATTAATACATTGGTGGGGACTTGTTTGATTATTTCTTTTTTTCTTTTGATCTAAATATGATACTCATTATCGCATGATTTCTTTTGTATTAAAATTGATATTTGTACAAAAAGGGTATCCGTATAAATTTAATTTTATCACAATTATTCATAGTGATATTAGTTTTACGAATTTCAAAAGTCTAGAGGAATGGAATGCCAAATATTCTGTTAAAACATTAGAAAAAACAAGAAACTTACCGTCTCGTGTTGATATTGTTTTGTTAAAGAAATATCCATTCTTCGATCTTTTTTTAATTAAATCAATTTAATAAATGCTGGTTTGTTAGAAACTAAAAATAAGAACATACCAAGGACTGTCACTTGAAAGTGAATATTTGCCAACCTGTTTTTGATGTAAGTATTTAACAGCTCGGAAAGGTTCATAAAGGTAGAACGTTGACATGGTTTCCTGAAGTATTGAGCCTAGAAATGTCGATCCAGATCTGCCGTATGCTATAATTATTATTATTTTCTTACACCTTGCGTTATATAAATTTTCTTTTGTTTTATAGTGACGCAAATCTATATTGTATTTAACATCAGCCAGACTGTCTGAAACATATCAAATTATCATACATCATAAATATAAAGCAATATTAATTACATTTATGTGTTTAATAAATTCCCTATCCTGATAACCAGATATAATAAAAAAAAGTATGACAAAATTATATTTCTTTAAATTTTTAAAAATAAAATAAAATTCAAACTCGCCAGTTCATCATATTCCATCTAATGTGGATTGCAATGGTTTTGTTATCCTAATTCATAGCCCAATTCAAAAGTAATGTAAAATAGTTTTGCAGAAACAGCAATTGATCCTAATACCATTTTAAGCATGTAAAATAACTACATAATGAATGTAGCCCACACATTCAAGTTCAATGCTTAAATTTAGGCACATATCTGGTTATAAATTAGATTATATGACTGGTTGTGTTTTCATTTCATAATGTTATCTTTAATCATTTGATTACAAATAGGCTTCATATCAAAAATTAAAATAACTATTTAAATACAAAAGAAAATAAGTCATTCTTTTATACTCACTATTTTGCTTAATCCATGTATATATAGCATTTATGATCAACATAAAGAATAGAATCACAAATCCTTTTTTAAATGACTTTTCAAGCATATTATCGTCTTCCCTTTAAAAAAGAATGGCAAAACGATGTTATCTTTTTATGGACTGTTTGACATAAAAACACTCAAAATCAATATACAACCTGTTTTGAATCAAACTTCTTCATTTTATCTGATATGCTGATTCATTGTTTTATATTTTATAATTGTAATATAAAATTGTAGATAACAAAAACGTGACAAACAATATACTTAAAATTTTGTTCTTATAAATTTACCAAAGTAACTCTGATATAAAGTGCTATTTCCAGTTCCATTCATTTCATCAATGCTTATTAAAGTGTATTGATATCAAATAACAGAGGCGTGTTCTTCAATTTCTTTTCTCCGTGTGATTTAGATTTTAAAAATTGCATAAACTAAAGGATGACTTTTAACACATTATATGATAAGATAATAACATCACTTAGGTGAAGACATCCGCCTGAATACTGTATTTCGTATAACATCAAATACATTCAACGTAAAATAAATCACACGGAGAAAAGAAATTGAAGAACACGCCTCTGTTATTTGATATCAATACACTTTAATAAGCTGATATGGCGGGCGAGTCCTTTTCCTCATATATAAAATGTAAACAATCAGCGAATTAGAAGTTGACCGTACAAACTTCACGATGTTACCAAACTCCTCGAACCTAGGGTTAGGGTTATCGCAATTAAAACGTCAAAATCGAATTTTGCTCGATTCATAGCCAAATGCGAGTTAAAAATGTTTAAATGCCTAATTAGTTTTGGGTCATTTTGAATCAAAAATATTATTATGAACGAAAAAATGTCACCAATTAACCTGAAATCTAATATAGCCATATCACCCAAATTATTGTACCTTACCCTCTCATCAAATAGCGGCGGGCCTTAAGAGAGAAGGGTCCTCGATGGCCGAGCGGTAAAAGTCGCCGGCCACTTATTGCCTAATCGCCGTGGATTAATATCCCGCAAGGGACCTTAGGTTATCTCATATGAGGAAGCAATCTATCTGGCTAACTTGAGCACATGTCTTAAAAGTCAGAATAATATGTCATTAGCAAAGGTTCGGAAATCTGAAGTGGATGGAATAAGACTAACTTATTGTCCTTTGTGAACTTAGAAATTCTTATTTAGATTTTAAAAAACAAGTTTTCCATCCTCAACCACTAAACCTATTTTCTATTCACGCATTCGTCACTTATTGAGGATGGATTTTTACTAAATTATGGTCCTTTGTTCTGTTTAATGTTTTGGTGTAAGTTTTAAATGAACAATAGCCGCTAAAGATATTGCTTTGACTTCACATGTTTTTGTTGTAGAAATTAATCATTTTATTTAGAACATATTCTAGTGGAAATTGACGGAACTTTTGCACGTTATAATAAACTTTAAATTCTGGTTAAAATTTAAATCATCCCCGTAACCTCCACAGGAATTTGATTTGAAATACACACATTGGGTTAAGGGTAAAATAATTTGTCAACTATCAAGGCCCGTAACTCTAGGTTGGGTATTGTCTAAAGCTTAGTCCTTTAAAATAAAAAAAAATAAAAAAGCAACAAACAAACGCCTTTGACATTTTATTTTAACACATGTGTTACGGTATAGGAAATAGAGCAATTTACGAACCATTCGCAATTTTGGTTGCGTACTTGTTACTTAAAATAGAATATCATATGATACCTGTTACTTTATAGTCATGTGACATTTTTCTATGTTCTGTAATCGGCCATTTTGAAAGTTTGTTTTGGTGTGAATATGATGAATATTTATGTTGATAAAAGTGATTAAAATGGATAATTATTATGATGATAATTTGATAATTTACGCGCTTGTTTTTAATCAGTCTTCAAGATAAGGATATTTGATCTTCACTTATTGTACATGTTAGACTGACGACTACAATGGTAATAGTGATGATTATAATGATGATTATAATGGTGAGAAAGATAAAATTATTTTTATAAAGGAAAATGTTCTTCATTGTTTTATATCCATTACAATTCTAATAATAAACAATACAAATATATGCGGTGTACAAGCATTGCTACTAAAGATAAATGTCTTTGTTTTTGGTGCGAAATAAATAAAAAGCCATAAGCTTACCCTACCGTTTATTCCTCGTCACCTATTCTAAACTCCTAAACTCCAGTGCTAGGGGGCGTGAGGGATGTTGCACTTATTCATTATCCCTCATGTACAGACTCAATCAAACCGAGTCTGCAATTCTTATGTTATTTTGTTGTGATTAATGCTTCCGAGGGATCACTTTGTTTCCAGAATTTTCCTAAATTTACCTAAGCTTACAGTAGCTTAGTTTTGCTATTATACAACGTTGCTTACCTTACCCAAGCTTAAATATAATGTGTTACCTGATACTTGAACAAGAAAGTGCATTTTGTTTATTATGAACTAAAAAAACTTGATTATTAGGCTGAATGATTTGACCTATACAAATCTTTTTATTAGTCTAAATTTATGTATGCATCATATTGACATTACAATTTTTATTGGTCGTTTATACCATTGCCAATAAAATACTCCTTGACAAAATTTGTCATTATGTATAAGTTGACAATTTGGATCACATGTTCATTAAAATTGAAATTTTCGGTTCCCATGGCCATAAATGTCTCTGGTATTTAGGACACACATGTTACAGCCTTCCTTCGAATAAACATTTCTAGGTTGAGTTATAGAATATCACAGGGTCATGTTGAATTAAGGTCCAATTTCATTTTATTACATGTTGGTGCAAATGACGGGACTGGTTCACTTTTTATCTTCTTTCAATGATATAATTTCTTATGTTCGTCAATATTCTTCTGGTAGTATTATTGTTTCTGCTATTATCCCTAGGCCCATTTATTTGATGTTACAGGCAACAGGGTAAAAGTTCTCAATAAAAGATTTACTATGCTATGTAAGAATAGGCATGTTTTATCTATTCGGACATTCAAGCCCTTTCTTAGGTGTGGTATTCCTCGCCGGAAATACTTTGCAATTAAGGAGGGAGGTAAACACTTGAATCTGCAGGGTACCAGGCGATTTTTAGAAATACCGTTTCACATTTGAAACAAATGGGATTGGAGGTGCTTTACATTATGTTGAAAACAGTTTAATTTAAAGATTATATTACAATAGGTGAGAGTCCGTATTTAAAAGCCTCTTCTTGTCGTGTGTTTTCATAAACTTAAGATTTTGTATGTTGATGTTCTTGTTTTTGGGACATGTTATTTTCCAGGATAGACTTTACCTTGAAAATGTTTTTTTACGAAATTAAGCTTATTTGGATGAGTTCTTTGAAAAAAAGTACTAGATAAATTAAAATAAGATGAAAACTTAAATTGGGTGATACAAAACATGAATTTGATTTAGACAACCAATGATTAAGTTAAACTTAAATGAAAAAATTGAAAAAGAATGAAATAGTATTAGTCCACTGGTAAAAGAGATTTTTACCTGCAATTGAAAAAGGAGCTATTAAGTCAGTATTGCCTCCGTTATTTACCACAACATAGTACTATTTATTTGAAGACACCACGTGAATAATTGGGAAGGAAAGGTAAAAATAAACAATCTGTAGTACTGTCTAAAGCATGCAAAGAAAGTGGTTTAGATATGGTTGATATTAATAATTATATAAATTGTTTAACGAAAAAGTGTTTTCAATGGTGTGTTAGTAATAAAAGCAGTAAATATTGTTGAACTTATTGTTTAATACTGGTAAAGTTTTAAACGCAGAAAATATGTTTTATAAATTGATTTTGATTTTCAGTAAAATGCTGTCTGTATTCACGTTTCAAAGGCTTATGAACACATATCCGGATGTTTCGAAATTTAAAATTTCATCATTTTTATGTTTAATGTTCTGTTTTCTATTTAATTCGGCGTTACCTTCACTTTCCACTATCGTCCATGAACAGGCTCAATCGAACCGAGCCTGCAATATTTTCAATTTTGTTGTTTGGACTATCTTTATGGATTCTTTTTTCCCTAAATTATATGGTTTATGTAAATTCTTTCTTGTAAAAGAACTTTGTTGAAAAACAAAGAAATGGCAGATGTAGCGATTTTCTTCTTCCAAAAGACATTATATGTTAGTTATTTACATGCAATAGAATTTTAACAGCATTGTCATTTCTCTCAAATAATCATACTATTTCTTTGTCGTTATATTTAATATATTGGTTTAAGATTAAGGTATTTGTGTCGTTCTTAAAACGAAAAATTTGCAATGATATTTTTTACATTTTTCATTATCCGAAAATATTTCAAATTTATTACATCTATGATTTAAAAAATTACAAAATGTATAAGTCCTGGACATTTTAAGATGTACAATTCAATTAACAACAAAACAGGTATGTCAGTGCTGGAACATTTAATATCACACCATGAAGGTTCATTAGGACAATTTTTTAACTTTAATTCAAGATATATGTATGTCAGCTAATGTATTTTTTGTTGATATATACGATGAAAATTTGATGTTATCACTTATTATTGCATTAAAAGAATCAGATCGTGTATTTCTTACATAACTGTCATTATAATTATTTGAAAATGAAAGTTTATTCTATAAGAAGTTGTTTTTTTGTTTGTTGTTTTATTTTGTATGATGAAAACTGGGATTCAAGTTGAGTTTTAACAGTGAAAAGGAAATTGATATAAATAGTCTCTAATGTAACACTTATTATGGGTGTCAGCAAAAGCAAAACAATTATATATGGACATATTTAATCATTAATTTAACATGTATTTTCAATAGCAAAAAAAGTGCCGGAGATATAAGCGTGTCGTAATCATTACTTCATAAAAACAGAAACCCTAAAGAACGCACAAAACGATTATTTCAACATTTTGCAGGCTCCATTTGATTGAGTATGTATATTGACGGTAATGGTAAGAGTAAGCCCCAAGGTATAGAGCTTATTAATTGTTTGTTTGAGATATCGTTATCTTCAATCAAAATATAATAAATCATGAATGTAAATATATTCAAAACTTTATTATCATTCGAATATCATTAGATGGTGAATGTTGACCATCAAAAGCTCTGGGTGACATCTGCGGTTGTTTCAAAATTCAAAATGTTACCAGTTCATGTTTAATGATGAATCCCGCTATAGCCGGTGCCAAAAACCTGGACGGTAACTTGCACTTTCCAGTACTGTCCATGAACAGGGTCAATCAAACCAAACCTGTAAAATTTTTAATTTTGTCGTTTTGGGCATTCGTTAGGGATTCTTTTTTCTCTATTTAATATTCAGATTCTGAGAACTAGTGCTGAACAGTCGTGAAATACAAGTAGGTTATCTTGTCACTCTACAAGTAAAGAAAAAAAATCAATTATCACCTTTGCATTTTTATACCTGGTATATGTATCACCTATCACCGACACATTAGGATCCATCAATGATATTTTGTAAGACAGCTTATCTCTTTACAACCTATTAGATTGTTATTTTTTTAAAACAATTCTTATCATTAAGATAATATTTTGGGAACTGCATTAAAAAAGCCTATAACTTAAACAAATAGCAAGTACATATATGTAGCCCTATTATAAATAATAATCTTAGAATTATATTTAAGGTAAATTCCTTTTTTCTGAAACTTAATTATCTGTACCTTTACAAATCAATGTTATAGGACCAATATCTAATGCAAATGTACCACTAAGCAGTTTAAATGGTAAAAACGTAGGTAAAAACAGCGATTTATGGTGTAGCTATAAACAATTACACAATATACATTAATAAAAAAATACAAAATACACACTTGAAAATGCACACTAGCACATCCTCAATTGATTGATTATTGATTATCTTCTTTCTGTATCTTTATGAATCATATAATGTTTATTTGAGAATTTGCAACTTCTTTACTAACAATATCTTTTGTAATAAGGGAAACAAAAATCAAAACAAAACAACAACAACAAAAATAACAACCGTGATTATTTCAACAACGAAGTTCAACAAGACATGACTCAGTGCTTGAATACATTCACTGTTTTTATTAAATTGTTAATATATTTTATAAGGGATAAAACTTTTAAAAAATGTTTATTCTTATGAAACAAAAATACATGTACATTTTTGTAGGTATAAAGGAATACATAATGCGTTATGTAAATGTGCAGTAATGTAACCTTGAATATAGTGTTTTTTATAACATTCGACAACTTTTTATCGGATTTCATTTTACATCTGTTTGTTGTTGTTATTGCATTTGTCTTCATTGTTTTTACTCCTTTGTTTTTGTTAAGGTCATTGTAAGAACGTAACAAACCATACAAATCTTATGGTAGGGACACACATTTTCTTTGTTTAAAATCCAATTTTAAGTTTGAAATGTCATTTCCATTTTCAACGTTGTTTTCGATTACGAATGTGAGCTAACTTTCATAAGTCTAGTACCAAGGAAGTGATAATAAGGAACACCTGGCGCCCTGTAATATTGTAAGTCAACTGCGGGTTTTAGTATACGGTTGCCTTTATCACAGTAGATTGCATATATGACCTGTTGTTCAGAATTAGTTAAATTTTGTGACAAAAAGTATCGAAACCCTCGTTGATACAGTTTTGAAAAAACGATTATACGACTTCGCTCTCCATATAATAGCCCGGCCGCTACAATGCTCTTTTTCTTTTTAAAAATTGTGTTTGGATCTAATAAAAGCGCTTGAGTAAGATTAGAAACAATTTGGTCAGCCGCTATTTTAGTTTCATTAAATAATGGCGGTTTAGATAAATAAAACATTTTTAAAGCTGTTTTACTTGAATAATATCCAACATCTAACCACATAAAATATTTTGATTTGAATGTGTTTTCTGTCGTTGCATTCAAAAGAAAGTCGAATTTGGCATGGGTTACACATGTATACATAGGATTAGTTGTATGCGGATAGTATTTTGGGTATGAATGTAGCAGAAAAATTTCTTGAATTTGCTTTATATATTGGAATGACCTTATCGACATTGAATCAATAAGGAACACTTTTGTAACAGACAGGAGGTCTCGACGTAATTCAAGCATATGACTTTTAAATGAATTTGAATTTGTGTATACTATTAATGCATTTAACAAGAATTTAAACGCTTTGGCTCTTTGAAAATAAAATGTTGTCGACCTTTTCCGATGAAGATATCCTTTTGAAAAAGGACCTATATCTATATAAGCTGTAACTACTGTCGCATTTTCGGGAATAGGTTGCCAAGCTGATGTCTTATCACTTGCTTTCTGTAAATAATATAGGAATATATCTTCATATATATACATGTATATCTCAAACGTGCTTAAATACCAGCTTATAAAAATGATACAGATATTCGTCCGTTATTATCTAAGTTGATTACAACATTTTTAATCAGTTGTTGCATAGAATATATCGATTGCCATCAATATCCTTATTAAAGATGTATTGTATCAAATTTGTCAATGTTTCGCCCATAACAGTACAATTATGTAATAACTGTTCACATGAAATATAACCATTAAAGGTGTTTCTATCTTGGGTACAAAAGCTTTTGCATCATTATTCATCTGTTATATAAAAGGTTATATTTATTTATAATTGAACTTACCCTGTCCTCTATATTTTTGAGTTTTGCAAACAAATATAAATATATTACACTAAGACATGTTACAACATATATCAATGAAACGCTTCTTAAATAATCCTTTTTGTAAATAAACAATTTCATCTTATTTTTACGAATGTATATTAAAGAGTATTATTTATTTACCAAATATACCGGTCAACAGGCAAATACAACGTAACTAAAAGACTATATGTCACTAAAAATTATTATCCGTAATTAAACCGACGAAATTATTATTTTAAAATTCATGTAAATTACCACAAAGAGCATACATCTTTTTTAAGACTTAAAGAAGAATCAATATATTGGCGTTAATATTTTCTACGACAGTAATGTAAATCAATTGCCTTAAAAGATTTCATATGTTCCCTGACAATATTAAGTTTTATGTCTGGTACTTAGCTAATTCTGCTGCCATCAGATGTCCCTTTAATATCTTTGTCTACCACCTGTATCGGTAATTTGGAACGAGCAGTCAATACAACAGACTGGCCAATCTGAAGTGTATTAAAAACTGTTTGCAAACACGAACAGGGGAATTTGAATCTTCATTTGAAAAATCTATTTGTAGGAAAATATCCTACAGGAAGTCAGTTTTTCCTTCCTCTTCTTTTCTCACATTTATTGGTATTACTTATGATAAAATACCTTTGTCAAGTAACACACCCTAACTGCCAGTAGGACTGCAGCATTTTTTCTATCCTCTTCACTCAGTTGCTTTGAACATCTAGGGTTAAAACCTACAACTTACAACACAGGCTGGTCTTAATTTCTTTTTCTTAAAAACGTACCTTATGTATTTACATAGCTTAGCCCTTTATTACGCCGTTTGTTTTCTTAACTTTCCAATATTATTCATCCCTTAGACGTTTACGCCCCATTTCCATTAGTTTTACATATTCACAACTACATGCCGGACATAATTATTATATTTGCATTTTCTATTCAATGAACTGTCCTGTCGCTGGTGTAGATGTTGTGACAGAAACTCTGTTCTGTCTACCACCCCTAACAACCTTATGATATTTCTTTGAAAGAAAGCTTAAATGCATGTTTACTTCTATATCACTAAAATTGTTCTGATCTATTTCATAATCTATACTGTCACTTCTTCTTCCGTCACCAACACTATCAATTAAAATGGATAGAAGAAATCAAAGTTTTATTAATCTCAGTATCTAAATAAATTACATCAGCATCACAACCACCATTAAAACTCTCAATAAGTTATTCACCATGCGACTGACATCTGTCAACCAAATATCATCACCCAGCACTATATATACCTTAACCCTAAAGGCATCATCATTGCAATTTACATTCGAAATAACAAATTCATCATCTGACTCACAGTTTACTACCATTATCTCTTCTAGCACTGTATTTAACTCAACTCTATCTATTGATATTGAATAAGTTGTATAAGAGGATAAGTCTGGACAAATTATTTAATATATCATTAAACGACAATAATTCTGACAAAAACCAATGAACCAAAAAATGCTGAAGAAAGCACAGCTAAACTTGATATTTCTTAGGTACTTTCCTATTCAAGGGCAACATCACCAGCACCGTAAATATAAAGCATATACACTTAAAGCATAAGCTGTTATAATGATGATATTTATTCATTCAATTGATATCTTTCAGCAATGAACACAAGAGAACCATCAGCTCAAACTAAGCAACAAGAAAGGAACGTACAGAGAGCCAAAAGTCTTCTTAACAACCAAAAGAAATTTTCTGTGAAATGGTTGACTTTCATTGCAATATTGTTCTGTCTGATGACCGAGAACATCTATTTACGAAAATTTAGTATCTAGTATTTAGCTTCTCGTATCCAGATGAAATGAATAACTTCAAGCAGGTTTTTTTATGAATATGACCAAATACTTACTTGGAAATATTACCAAACGGTTAAAAAAGTATGAAACAGTTACTGTACAAACACAAGTGACAATAAGCAAAAAGTTATAATTTACATATCAGGTCACATTATAAAAGATTTACACAGGAAGTGTGCAATGTCTGAAACAGTCAATAAACCGAAGCTTAATCTTGTTTGGGTTTTAGCACTGAAAAATCAAGTTAGGTAACAAAAATGTATGCAACAATGCATACAAATATGAACAAAGGTTGACTGGGATTGACAAAATATTAACAGGATATTTTTTCGTTTGGGTGAAATATGGAATATATTTTCACGAAACATGATAAAATGCCACATAGTTTCACGAGCCGGGACGGCGAGTGAAAATATGTGGTATTTTATCATGTTGAGTGAAAATATAATACCATATTTCACGAAAAACGAAAAAATACCCTTTTAATTTAATTTCATTATCGAAGAAAAATGGTAACAAGCCCCATTGCTTGCTACGCAACTGCAATTGTACAGCGCGCAGTAATATAATATTGCGTCTTGTTTTGAACGCGATGTTTGGCGCTTCTTTGTGACGTCATGTAAACAACTCTTTAAAGTCTGTACAGCGTTAATAACTGAACTAAAGATATTGGTGTCCGAATTTATTTTCTTAGTTAGACCATTTTCTATCATTCTAGACAGTTTTCAAAACAAAATTCAACAAAAAAGTGTTTTGTATTTATCAGATTTTTCAAACAAAATGGCGAAAGAAGTCCCTTAAAATAAATATGAGTTTTGACTCCGCCTACTTTCATATTTATATTTCATATTTATTTTAAACAAATATGAAATATATTTGACTGATATAGCACCATATTTCATGGGTAAAATTAAATAAAATTGATGTATTATAATAAGGTTCATTTAATGGGAAGTAAATATAAAATGGTGAGAAGCAAAGCCTCAGCCAGCAGTCTTTAGACACAAATATATCAAAAGAATTACTGTTGGAGGATGTTATGGTGTACTTTAACATAGAAAAGATGTGCCTGACAAAGGAGACCATGGATAAAGACAAGGAGTATGTTGTGAGTGGCTAACTTGAGGAATTTTTTTATTTATTTGTGGCAATGGTAAAACTTTGACGAAATAAACTTCAAAGTGTATGTAAAAGTAAAAAATCGGGCAATAGTTTTTGCACTGCCCTAAAGAAAAAGTGTTCAAAGACCAAGAAATGAAAGATTCTCAGAAGAACAGTCCCCATTGCTCTGTCATGTATGATGTGCTTGTCAATATGTAAAACAACTGACTTTTTAAGAGTAAAACTTAGTTCACTAGTATTTTATAGATTTTTTTCAGAGCAATTTTTTGATAAGGGGTAAGAGAAAACTCATAAAACATTTTATTAAATTTAATTATCAAATACTAGAATTATAATGTAACAAGTACATAACACAAAATAACATACGCATAACATCTGCAAACAGAATTCTTTATCTTATTTCATTAAATAAGTGAAGCTCAACAAGTATGCACTGATAAATTAGGTAAGTTTAAATTTGTAAGACAAGTTTAGGATCGGCCCCAGATTTTAGCCTGGTTAAATTTTACATGATTTTCTTTGGATGAAATTAGATGTAAGTTAAATAAATCAAGCAAAGACACATCACAATTATTTTCAATATTTAATACAAATGAACTTTCTTGAATGTCTTGCTGATTTAAGAACCTTTCCTTTTTAGGACATATACATTGCATATAACAGACTTGGCCTATGGACTTGGCATCGCCAGTCAAAGTATGACAGAAGGATATTTCCAGCATGTGCAGTCACTGTTTTAAGTTCTGCTTTCCCATCTGAACAGTACTCGGATTGAAGTATGCAAGGAACTTATCAAAATTGTCTCTTGTACATTCATATCTGAAATCTGGACTTATGTGCTAGAACGGCATCCACTTTCAAAATTCGGCATGCTACACTGAACACTGGAGGAGGAACAATAACATATTCACCTTCTTGAGCCTTCTTGTGTGTTGTGTACTTTTTACGAAGATTTATCAGTTCTTCATTCAGTGTTTGAATACAATCTGGAATAGACAAAAAAAAACAATTAAAAAATTGTTTGTAATTATTTGTTCTTTAACATTGGAACAAAAAAAAGTAGTTAATAAGTGTGACATTGTCACAAAATATGTCCATCACAAAAGATTAGGTGGAGAAGTTGGCATTAAGACAGGCAAGCCAGTTGGTCATTAATCATTTTTGAAATTTTATCTCTTTGAAACTTTGTGCTAAGTTAAATTTATATTATTCAATGCATTTAGAAGCTTTGCTCCGAACAGACACATTTCAAAGCGATCTAAGTATGACCTTTAACCAAGAGACATGGGTTATGTGCAGGGCACCACGTCTCAAGGCGGTGAACAATTCTATAGAGTGACATTGAAATTTGTCCATGCAGGCTGGGTATTATGTAGATACTAACTATCTCTATTGACCGTAACCTTGCAAATATTAACCTTAATTACATGTTTCACAGCGGTAGTCACGATAAAGACAATTCGTGTTACAATCCCTCATTAAATGATGACTAAATGGCCCAAGTACACATTTTCATATTTCTATCTGAACTTTGACCGCTGGGACCTAAATTTTACACGCAGCACTTTGCCTCACAATAGTAAACATTTGTGCCAAGTGACATCAAAATCCCTTCATGCATGTAGAAGTTCATACAGCTTCTCATAGTTTCTCAAATTTCCATGACGTTTAATAAAAAATCCCTCCATGAATGTAGAATCAAGATAGTATTTCCTCTAAAAAGCAAAATTAAGTGTTACTGTTTTCTTTCCCTGAAACTTATATATAATTTGTTTAAAAGTAACTTTTAACAAACCACTTTACCATAATCACTTGTTTCCATTACAGGCCTTTCAACATGCTTCCCTCCTTTGTATTTAGGATAAGACACATTGGAACGTTTTATTCCTTCCCTTGTAATTGCTTGTGCTCTCCCTGCATTAGAGCAAGTGTGTAATACTGACAGGTTTATCCTAAAAGAAAATAAAACATGTGATGATAATGATGAATTTACCTATAGGCTGGCGTAAACAAATGATGATGTACATTAAATTGCGAAATATGCCATTAAAAAATAAAACCCATTAACATATATTGTGTAAATTTGCAAATTTACACATATAAAAGTTATGCGAAAATTTCAGCAAAGCTCTTCTACTTACACTATAGTCCTAGTTTGAAAATAAAAAGAAGCAGTGCTTGATGTAAATGTGCATTTATAATATAAAATAAAATTATGAGGTAACATTTATTTTAGGACTTCATCAAGTTGCATTTTAAATTTGATGGAAAGGCTGCTTACATGTGTTCTTTTCATACAATTATAAAAGTTTTGTCCCAGCTGAACATTTTTGGCATCACTGCTATTATACAGGTCTGCTACATAGCAACAGCATAGTTTTAATATGGAAATATGCTTCTGTATATTTTTTTGGCGGGAAGGGAGCGCAGCAAGTCTAGAAGGGGTTTTACTTTAACACACCTACTTAATTGTAGAAAAGGCCTGTGTTTCAAGGTCAGAACCTTAAACATTTAAGAATCTTTCACATGTTACAGTTTTACTTCATAATCAGTGTAAAATGACTTGATGAAATTAATGTTATTCTGGGGTAGGTTAAACAAAGTCCTGACTCACTGATGATAATTCTCTATCTGCAGCATAGTATCAACTGCATTTGTCAACAATAGATACTTGGTTCAGTGTATTAACTGTATGCACACTGTCAAGATTGATTTTTTATTATTATATTTATCGTTTTATTTTATGTTTGTTTCAGCAGCACGAATCTGATTAAATTTGTTTTTAAATCAGTTTTAAGATATTCAGCTGAACTTTAATTTGCACTTTATTTCATGTTGATACATCTATTTAAACTCAAGTTATATGTATTTAAGTGCGTCAAAAGAAACACACATTTGTTTTATTTTACTGCGACGTCGATTATATTGTGACGTCTCGCCAATTGTTTTCTATCAGGTTCGTGTCGTTGCTATATACATTGAGAGAATAAAGAAACCTGAGGTTAATTAGTAGAACATCAGAAAAAAATTAGTTCCCGAATAAGGACTTTCTATTATTGTCTAAGACATTTCAGCTGAAGGAGTGAAGCAAGCCTACAGAGTGGAAGCAATTCAAAAAGCGCAGCAAGTCTCAAAGCGCAGCAAGTCCAGAGGCGCAGCAAGTCTAAAAGCGCAGAAAGTCTAGAAGTGCAGCATTCCAGGAACGCAGCAATTAAGCATATAAAGTTTAGTATAAAGTCCAAACGTACAGCAAGTCTTGAAGGGAAGCAAGTTCAAGAGCATTAATCACAACAAAATTACATAAGAATTGCAGACTCGGTTTGATAG